ACCGAGCGACCGCTTGGATGAATTAATGGTGGCACTAGACTGCTAAGGGGAGCCTTGTTTGAAGCATGTGGATTGCACCTGAAGCATGGCTCGAAGAAGTCAAAGGGTGCAGTCAGCACGCACGTTGTCACAGCCTTGAGGGCTAAGATCTAGCTGTGCACAGAAGCGCTAGGTCAGTCACTTTCGCGTGTTGAGGAAAATTCGGAAGCCTTTGCGTGTGTCCATGGCCTTGTGAGCTCCGCCTCTTACATAATCTGTCACGATAGAGTCTGGTTTGAGAAGACGAAGGTACAGACCAATATCCGGAGCCTTAGCTCCACAGAGTAGGAGTAGGAGTAGCAGTAGCAGTAGTAGTAGTAGTAGTAGTAGCAGCAGCAGCAGCAGTAGCAGTAGCAGTAGCAGTAGCAGCAGTAGTAGCAGCAGTAGCAGTAGCCTGTATCCTTGTGGTTTAACTTTTTGATCCATCACCCCAATGTGGAATCGCAATTTCTGCAGCTTGCCTGTTTTTCACAGGGCCTAGGCGCGCCCCGTGCGGAGGCACGACTCGGGTCCTCTCTCTCTGCCTCTCTCGCTTCCCCCTGATGGAAAGGGGAAGAATCGTGGCCCTCGCCCTTGTGCGTCCAGCGCGCAGCCACGGGTGTGGCCGGTCTCGTGTGACATGTGACGGGAATGGAAAGGGAATCACAGCCATAACATCATTGCAAGCATCAAAGCTTAAGCCACAAAAGCCCCAAAACAAAACAACTACAGCAAGCAAGCTCCTGGCTTCTCTCTCTCTCTCTCTCTCTCTCTCGTTCTACCTTCTTTATTTCATAGTATTTGTCTTTATCATTAGTTATATATGATATTGTCTTTATTAATTATGCGTGATGCGTATACGCATACGTTTCAAATCGACAAGCTAAGATGCTAAGCAGCCACGAGTCACAAAACCAAGAAGCCAGGAAACCGAGAAGCCAGGAAGCCAAGAAGCCGAAAAGACAAGAAGCCAGGATGCAGAGAAGCTAAAGTCTAACCTCCCTTCTTCCTTCCTTCCTTCCTTCCTTCCTTCCTTCCTTCCTTCCTTCCTTCCTTCCTTCTCTTCTTCCTTCTTTTATTTCTTCTGGTCTTCCTTCCTCCTTTCTCATTCCTTGATTCCTTCCCTCGCTACTTCCTTCCTGCCTTCTTGCTTCCGTCCTTTCTTTCTTTCCTTCTTGTCGACCTTCTGTTCTTTTTTTCTCCTTCCTCTTCCTCCTTCGCTCGTTTCTGCTGGCTATTGATCCAAGTTTCATAACTATTTCTGGTCCAACAATAAATATTTATAGACCCGGGTTTAATCATTTATGGATCCAAGTTTACGTCGTGTTTGATCCAATCCCGTCTTTGACACCGCTTCTTTTAGCCAGCCCTCGAATCTTCTGCAGGCTAAGGCCGGCTGGTTTAACAGGTGCCTGGTAGGAACTGGCGACGTCATCCAGCATGTCCAGCAACGGGTGCTGCGTTGTCAGAAGTCTAGCCAAGCCTGCCAAAGCTTTAATCTTGTGTCGTCTGAATCGGGGCAAGTGCGTCCCTAGTTCAATGCTCTGCCCAGCTGATGCACCAGCATGGTGCATCGATGTGCATCGTCAAGAATGCCACGTTCACCAATTCGAGGCGGCGGCTAACATTGCGCACATTCATCTCAGCCAAGCCGAGAAGATCCTCACAGGCCAAACTGCTTTATGGACACTCTGCAGCACTGCAGCGGATCCTGTGGAAATGTCAAACAGGTCCATATCTGCCCAGAGGAACTACGGATGAAACTTGCAAGCCCAGACATGGTCTCGCTCGGGAAGCCCCACGAGTTCGCGATCAATCCACGGCCACGACCACAATTCAACCGTCCTCGGTCTCCTCGTCGAAGACTGGAAACCGAGCCTCGTGAAGCTTCGGGCTACATAGGGAGCAATCCAGTTTTGCAGTTTTAGCCTGTGCTCGCGGCCCAGGCACTGGACAGGTATGCTGCTGCAACTGAGAGCGGGCATCCTGAAAGTTGGAGAGGGTCCCAAGATGTCTCAAGGAGCCAGAAGACTGAAGACTTTGTGACACTCTGACTATCTCTGACTGCTCAGACTCCACTCTCGCTTCCTACCGCGGGCGTTTTGCCGAGTGGCGGCTGCTTGGTGAGTTCAGGACAAACATGGCGCTGGTGGCAAGCAAGGCCTGCAGATGCAGGTATTGTGCTAACAGCAGATCTCATCAATCGGACCTCATCCTGAGGTTTGCGATGTCGCACATGCTTCATCATAGTCGCCGCAAATTCATCCTCATCCTGTCATGTGGCAGTTTCGCTCATATTGCAAGGCGACTTCGAAAGATTCACATGCCGATGAAACGCAATCCTGTCCTCGTGGCATCCCGTTAAAGGCGGTGCTGCTGCATGCGCCTTCATGGCGCCGCACGTGCCACTGGACTCAATGGGAAGCCTGCGCCTGCGCCCTGTTCTGTAAGAGACGAAGAAGCCGGAAAACGGGCCAGCCGCTTCGAGCCTGTGTAAAAGCGTCTATGCCAAAGGATCGGACGAAGCATCGAGGGCACGACGACTGCTGGCCATCCCGCCAGAAGGTCTCTCTTGAAGTCCAAGAGGCCGCCTTCCTCAACAAGCTTGCGCACTTCATGCTTCATGCCCCCCACTCGTTCTACTTCCAGGCTTCGTAAAACATCTGCTTGGAATCATCTGAGAGTCCTTCCAAATATCGTGGGCATCCGTCAGGCCTTGCATTCCGAGGGTTAGCTCTGTCCGGCAGCAGATGCGCTTAGGGTGCAACGTTCAGCAGGCCTTCTGCCTCATCTCAGGCCGTAGCCATTCTGCTGGCTCAAGAGCAGAAGGAGGTCGAGGGAAACTCGCCCGAGAATGCAGTCCGTTTCGAGCGTGCCATCCAACCCAGGGACAGCCCTGTCGAACTCTGCAACCGCGGCTTGGTGTGAAACCAGAGGGAAAGAAAATCACTGCCTTTCAGCAAATGACGATGCTGCTCTGTCCAGCTCGTCAGCCAAGGTTTCCGTTCCGCCCTCACGCAGATTTCGCAGGCAGCGAATACACGCACAGCAGAGCTAACAGCTAAATGTAATAGCACCTCCACACATCTACTAAAACAGAAACCCGAAATCTTCAGCGGGTTCATTTATGGGTCCTGGTCTTTCGGCAACGGGCCTGCCCATCCAAAAGTCTCAACAATCGTCGATGCACAGATGGCCAATCCTTGAGAAAAGATCAAGCGATAGCCTCAATCTTTGATTTCGAGATGATTTGGCCTCGTGATGCTTCGATTGGCAGGTGCTGTCCTTGAGCGAGGCTGTGTTCGAACCCAAGTCAGCAGAAGAAGCCGCTAGACGGTATCTAAGGAGAAGGCAGCAAGGACCGCAAAGACCAACTCAAATCCAAGCAGCCTTTGTCAGAAAACTCATTTTGCTGGGAAGGCGATTGCGGTTTTTGTCGGGTCGTGTCTACGATTTTTGGGAATGACCCCATCTCGCGGTCCCTGCGCCGCCGTGCTCTTTACTCTGCAGGCTGAGCATCTCGCCATAGCGGCACATACAGCATGGTGGCACCATGGCTGCACGCTCTCTGTTTACAGTAGGTGTAATTCAACAGCCCGAAAACTTAGCTGCCGCGTTCAACATCTGCGCCGGCAAGTGGCACGGCTCGTGCAAACTCTATTGGGCTCTATTGTATACATGTGCGTTTCAGGACTCGTTGCCAAGCAGTTGCCCCACAACAACACCTGTTCAAACTGTGGCTATCGCAGATCTGCTGGGCAGTGTGAAGCCGGCCAGATAAACAGAGAGCAAACGGCCTTTTCGACTTTGGACGCCCGGCACCTGTATTGTCTGAGAGCAACTTTCCGACCAAATCATTTACAGCATTTCGCAGAGCTACTGCAGAATGACCATCTGCGGCTGCACGACACCCCAGATTGCATCGACGAATACGGCTTGGTGAACAGGCATTAGGAATTTGAAGAACGTCCGGAAGTGGGGGTGGGGGTGCTTTCCATGTGCTTCGAGCTGTTTTTTGGAGCTCTTCTCTGTACATATGTACACTCATGAAACCAGCAAGCCTTGGAAAAACGATCTTGCCAATGTGGAAACCAGGTCAACATGGCAAAGGCCTCACTAAAGCTTGATGACAATGGCGCTGCAGTTGTCGCCACCTTACTTGATGCGAGTGGCGGTGGCACTTCTTCACCTCTGAAAATCTCACGACAGGAAGATGCCGACCTCTGAGATCGAAGCCCTTCCCCCTGGTTTTGACCAGGTTCGGGCTACAGCTTTGGTCGACAAGCTCTTCAGCGGCCTTGGAAAGTCGAGAGCCGAGAACATGATCTGCCCATGCAACTCACACGCACCCGCCTGCATCACGGTTTGGCCTGCCCTCAGCGCAACTCTGACGATGTCCACCACTTTCTGAAAGCAGTCAGGATTGTACCCTCAGAGTACAATAAGAGCTTGCGAACGCCATGTATTGGAGGCCTGGGAAGTATGGAGCTCGAAACAGCCGTCGCAAGCCAGAACCTTCAAGAGCACAGCGAGTGCAAAGTGAGAAGGCGAAGCTGTCTCCTCACTTTGAGACTCCCGCAAGAAACTCATCGTCACTGTGAAGTTCCACCGTCCGTATCTCCGAGGGCAAATACGAATCATCTTACAGGGTCTGATGGGCGGTTCGGTTGGGGGCCTCCGGCACAGCGATGACCTTCTGCTGCTCGGCGCTCAAATCAGGCCGAGCCTGTGATGGGATGCGCTGCTAGCCTTTTGGCGAGCCGCAGTTCTGTTGCCTTGTAATGAAAGTCGCCAAGGGCCCTGGAGAGGTTAAGCCCCCACCTCAGATACCCAGAGAATCGCAGAGAGCACAGTAGCTGACTTTGCCTTGGCGCGCGGCCCGTCTATGCGATGACAGGGCCCGATCAACTTCACGGAGCCACCTGCTTGCCTGGCTGCAGGTGCTGCGCCGGCAGGCGACATGATAGAGAGGGCGGAATCCGGAAAGAAAAACAGTGCAAATGGCATGGAATCTTAGATCCAATTCTTAGGCAGAGCCAGAAGCATTGTGCGGAAGGCTTGGGCGACTGTCTTACCCTGGCCCCGCTGTAGGTTATTACAAAAAGGTCGCAACCGCCGCCTGATGCGCTTCTCTTCGCTGTGCAGCTCAGGTTTGTGGTCCTGCACGACTTTTTCAGCTGCTTCCCTGAATATCTCTGCGTACCAATAGCCATCTCACCTGATTCTTGAACAGCTCTCAGCCCCAAATACTCGGACGCAGCTGTTGGCTCTCATGTGTACGTCCTCGGAAAGTTCTACGGCCTCGGAGACTCGGAGTACACAGCGACACTGGAAGTTCCCGTGGTCTGGGTCGGAGGCTGTGCCGTTGCGGCAGAGCACAGCGCGAGAGTCGCCACAGTTTGCAACGGTGACACTGCGCTTGCCACCTGCGCCGAAAGGCTGAAGCCCGAAGACTTACAGAGGCCTAAAACGGGCCTGGCCTGTTTTATCAAGGAGGGCCACAATCGCAGTGCTTCCTGGGTGGCTCGCAGCCCGCCCGCAAGTTCACTTTGATTCCACAAAGGCAGTTGAGGCAGCCACCCACCAAATTGAAGGCGTTCCTCTGGCTGCTAGCCTGAACATGAGCTGCCAGAAATTGACATGGAAATGCACTCTAGCAGCTTTCACCCAGCACAGTGTCGTATGAATCGTGAACATGAACATGCCATCTCCCTTGCTGGTCCCTAATCGAGGTGAGCAAAGCTTGTCTGACGTGGACATGCTGGCAACGCTTCGGCCCACTTTTGCCAGTCTTGCCGCATCCGGAAGGAACACCGCCGAAGCGCTCCACGTTTCTGAAGTGCTCAAGCAGTGAGAAGCTCTCACTTAGGCGATCTTGAGGCCGGGCCTGGCACAAGCCGTGCAATTCTTTCATTCTTGCATCCCTGCCGCCAGGGTGCCTTCGCTTGCTTCGCTTGAGCCGAAGGTTGTTGATCTTGATGATCATCTTGCGGTGCAGCCGCAAAAAACGCTGGTAGTCGCTCAGGGTGGCCTGTTTCTCGAGTCTCAAGTTGAACTCTGGACCAACTTCTTCGATCTGGGAGCACCTCCTCAATATCGATCCCGTGCACGAACATGAGCGTCAGATCCTGGGGAACAAGGCGAGGGCGAGATCGAAGGAAAGGCAAGCCGCTCTCCATGCTTGCAGCGCAGGCTCCCCGTAGTGCTTCGGGGGCGTTTCTAGGTTCCAGAGCCATTTTGGGTACCTGGCATGGCTGGACGCAGGACAAGTCCTTTCATTCCGACAAGTCTTTTCATTCCTTTCCATTCCGATCGATATCACACTTCTCACACTGAATTCCGCCCAAAACACCAGCTGTCTGGCTTGATTTCCTCGTCCGGGCGGTCTGCGTAGATGTTGAACACCTGGGCAAGACATCTCTCAGTAGCCTCAGGCGACTCAGGCGAGGACACTGGGCCTGGCCCGCCCCGCTGGGTCCGGCGGGGGCTGCTGCTGCAGGGGCAGCTTTCGTGGCGCCCTTCGCTGCCTTCTCGCTCTCCGTCTTTCTCTCTCTCTCTCTCTCCCTCTCGCTCTCGCTCTCGCACCCCACACACGCACTCTGCACTCAGGACTCCAGAGCAAAGCTGATGGCCTTCTTGGGCCCGAGTCTTGAGGCCTTATGCTGTGCTGTCCGGGACGGCCAAGCTTGCTGTGTGTGCTTGCAAGCTTTGAAGAGACATTCGGGTGGCGTGCAGAAAGACACAGAAAGCCCCTGCTCGAGGTGGCCAGGCTGAATATGCCGCGACATCTCGTAAACACGGGCCTGGAGAGGTCACAGTGTTGATACTTGTGCATTCTGTTGCGTGCGTCTTGGGCGGCAGCTGTGCCATGGCTCAGCTAAGTTAGTGCCGGCTACAGCCCGGCATGTGTGCCATAGCTTTACACTTGAGCACACGCAGGCAACGGGATTAATGGATCATTGTGTCCACACGCATGCACTAGAGGCAAGCAGTTGGCCTCGAGGTGCCTGGCCATGATGCCGAGTGGACCTCACATATCCACAGCTCTCTCCACCGGACATTCCTGGCGCCGCCGATTCTGTGCCTATAAGGACACCCTGCAAGACGGAGGGAAAAGGGGCTCAAATGAAGGCGGAGAAGCTCAACTGCTGGAACGCAAGCCCTTTACATGGCCATATCAGAACGGCTGAGGCTCCAGCTGGAAAGCTGAAGCAGGCTGCTCTTCCCTTTGGAGTTGAGGCCATTGCCCAACTGCCACGGTGTCTAAACGTCAGACGACTGGGACAGCCTTGACAGAAGAACCCACAGGGTGCTATTTGAGAGCCCCACTTGCCGAAGGAAGGCATCCATTGCGATCATGCTCATGGAGAGTGACTGGCAAAATGTCAGGGGCAGCAACTTCTCAAGCACTGGTTGCAGGGACCTCTCGGTAAGTTGGAGCACACCACGGATTGAAGTCTTATCCGGCAAAGAAATTTTGAAGCCCAGCTGGAAGCTTTATGCAACGATAAAAAAACTAGAAGGGCGGACAGGACAAAAGCGGAGCAGGACGAGACCGGAAGGGTGAGGGTGGAAAAAGACAAGCAGAAAAGCGGAGGAGCGGCCAAGCAGAGAAGCACAAAAGCGGGAAAGCAGAGAAGCAAAAAAAGACAAGAACGCGACAAGCAAACAGAAGCAGAAGGCAAAACGGGAAAACGAGACAACATCAAAGCGTAGAAAACCAAAAAACAAAAAACCAAAACACCAAACAGAAAGACACACACAACATGATGAACAAATCACACATCCCTTGGCACAGCTTCGTTCTTGCAGTAGCTGACTGATCTTTCGTCCTTCTTCCACATTGGCATGTCGCTCACTGCCAACTTGTCGTTTGACTTTGGCCTGGCTTCACTTTTGCTCGTCTTCGGCTGTTGGCCGTGGTGGGCTATACGGGCCGGTAAGGGGATGTTGAAGCCCACATCAACCGATACGCGTCGATTGAAAGGCCATGGCGAGAACAAGAAGCAGAGCGAGCGAAATGTCTGGAAGGGACGAGAAGCACTCGGGCTCTCAAGAGGCAAAGTCTGAAAAAATCTGCTCTGGGAAAAACAAGACATAATTCTCAACACGCGAAGCTTGCCACCACGCGACCAGCCATCTTCGCATATGTTGAGGATAAGTATGCAAGCAGAGCGGCATGTCAAACCGAAGTGGGAGCCTGAAATCCGCAGGAAATGACATGCAGGACGCAAGGGCGGACCCGTAAAGGGAGCTACGTCTTCGTATCACGTGACATAACGATCTCCTTCCGTTTAACTCCGTGCTGTGTAACGTTGCGTCGCCGCAGTATGAACTTAAGACAACATCCGCTCCAGAAGTGTGCAAATCGCTCCAAACAACATGTCCATGGCTTTCGACACGACATGTATGTATATCTCGAGCATAACCACACATCGCAGTTTTGCACAGTTCTCGACCAGAATGCACACAAAGGCCCCTGTTCGCCCATTTCACAAGCGCTTGTCGGGATTGGTAAGCGTGACAGCTCGGCTTTTCCAGATAGTCCACCCTCATCTCGGGCGCTGCCAGCCTGACATCAAGCTGTTTGTCAAGGTTACTCGCTATGCCGCCATGTAGAAACACAGTCATGTCTTCTGCACTTGCCTCAACTCCATTTGCTGTTGGAGCCGGCCTACAGCGACGCAGAACTTCGTTCTACGGCATTAGATGCACAAGGGATCGCACAAAGGTCCAGCTAAGCTGCAAGGTGCGAGGTTCGACCTCAGCTGCCTCGTCCTGCGCTTTGGCTACGCTTGTTGACAGGAACCAGGGTGATGTTGCCGAGGTCCTCCGCTTCATGCGGTTTGCAACCGCTGACGGCGCCAGGCGACCTCAACCCCGCACCCATCCGCACCCGCCCCACTTATTCCTTGCTTTCGTCATCCACCTTGGAGGGCTTGCCATCCCTCGGCTTAGACTCTCGCCCGTCGGCCGATACGTCATCTTGCCGCGAAGACTGACGAACCTTCAACAAAAAGCAGCAGCGGGCTTTATGCTTCATGACCTGCTCAACCAACCGAGCCGAGGTCCTCGTCGGAGTCCCGTAACTTGTTTGCACACACCTGCAGCACCTGAGCAAAAGCCCCTGCAGGCCAAAATCACAAGTGTCTTTTCAAGTGCAGGCTGCCTTCGGAAACTCCAACGACGCGATGTGAGATACTTGGGACCCTCCGTGGCCATCAAAAACTGCGAATAGCGCCTCTCAAACGCCCCCAGGTGCAGCTTTGACCATCTGAGCCGACTCATTTCTGCACTTCACCCGGATCGTTGTGTCGCATGTGTAGTCATTGGTCGTTGATGGCAGTGACCAGTGTGCAAGCAGTGCAAGCGGAAGACAATGGGACTGACGTACCCAGACGCCGACTACTGTCCGGCACATTTGGTGATTATCAGCAGTGGGATTTGGATCGTGGCAAGAGGAGGTCGTACCCCATGGCATACATCTACGAACATCAAGTCGAATGAGCACGAGTTTGCTTGTTGCGGCAAAAACGGTAAAAAACAATCAAGCCAGCAAATGCCAGAGCAATAGCTAGGAAGCACCAGAGTCGGCTTTCGGGCGTGGCCAAGTTGTGGCCAACACAAGTCTCCTGCTTATTCCTTCAAGCAGCTAGCAGCGTTCTGTGGTCTGGGTCCAACCATTCAGAAAGCACAAGAGGCAAGTTCCGCAACAAACTACCGATAGAATCCCAGTGGTTGCTGGGAGGTGGCATGAGAAGGTTGCTTGATCTTTGCTACAGTGTAGGCACGTACCGAAGCTGCCCAAAGAACTGGGCCCGACAGCTTCAGATTTCATCGCTGGGTCTCAGCATCTGCATCCATAGTCAGCAAAATAGAAAGAATCGAAGCGAAAGCGATGCGTGAATCTATTTAAAACCTCATGAACGACATGGGAACCTTGGAACACCTATTTGGGGATTATAGACTTCTATCATTAATTAGAACCCTTATATATTATAGACCTAAAAGTATGTCAAGAGAATGCATGTCTTGCTTCATTCCTTTTCCTTCATTGAATTAAAAACACAAAGTGATCCATGGTTTCAATTGGAACAAAGCAAAAAGAACCTCATGCTTCCGTCGTATGGGTGTTTTCTACTTTATGGTTATTTCTATTGGAATTTGGAGTGGATCTTGCTTGCCATTACTAGACGACAGCTTTAGGCTCATCCCAAACATCGGCGAATTTTGACCCCAATGCTGCTAGCTGTTTAAGGTCCCTGACGCTGTCAGTGCTGTCCTGGTGTGCCAGTGGCTCCGGCAAGGTCGCAGCAATGCAGGTGGCGTCCTGGACATGGCTTTTCTGCGACAACCTGCCCTCACTAGGTCTCCAGTTGCTAGCAGCTTCACGATAACCTCTCGGCCTCCATGGCAGCCCGCCAACCCTGCATCTCGCACACCGCCCACTCCAAGCCGTGCCCATTGCCTCCTCGCAGGGGCTCATGTCAGCAAACTTCTTTAGGATTCTTTCGGACAGAAATGGACAGAAGAAACACGGCAGGGCGGGTTTGACGAGAAACCGGGCCAACACTCTTGGCCCCAAGCATGTTGCTCAAGGCAGTAGGACCGGAATTGGATGGAATTAGCAGATTAGCAGATGCTCAGTCAAACACAGCTCAGGGAGATCTCTATCAACAGTTTGTCGCTTCATGTCGCTTCCCAACTCAGTGCAAATTCGTGTCGACCCAAAGTGGTTCATGTATGTGCATGTTTTGCCAATTCTGAGTGTCCTTCTGTTTTCTTCTGCCGGAGCGGGCCTCCGACTCGAGGTCCTGACACATGCCCACTATGGGCCCACTCTGGTCTGGAACAGAAGGCTCTGGCGGGCGTGGCCCCGGCCTCCAACAGATGAGGTTTCGGAGAGCATTCCTCCGAAGAGCTTCCAGATCACAACACCAATCGTGGCGACCATCACCTTAGAAGAACCCCAACCACGTATCGCCAGCGAAAGAGTGCTGCTGTGCCATTGCTTGGGCACCGGCTGTTTTCCGAAAGACGTCATGCATCAAATCGCTGCCCGGGAAGCGCTCGATAAGAAACACTACTATCAAGAACACGTACAGGTCCTGCAAGACGTCGGTGTAAAGGGTTCGCAAGTTCAAACGAACGCCGTGCTATAGCTGCAGTGCAAGGTCCCGCAGAATGCTCCACAGGAGCTGCCCCATCCTTGCAAAGCTGGGATCGGAAATTCTTTTGCTTCAAAGATGCACCATGCCTCAGTGGCACAGGCGGCGCCAAGTTTGCGACTGATATGCTACCGAATTGCAGATATGTCTTTGAGACCACCTCGTTACATCAACTACCTATCTTTGGCTAGTGTCGCATCTCTGGGGTTGCCTTGATATGCAGTCCCTGCAACTACAATGGACGGCTCGATTCTGCGCCTGATACACCATGTTGTACCTCTGTTCTTGAGCCTGGCCAGTCATAAAGCGCCTCAAATACACTGGAGAGCTGTCAAGCAAGGCTTTGCCAGGATGCACAGCAACATACAGCAACCACGGGAAAGCATTGTGGTCTTGACATGCTGCCTTTATGCGGAGGAGGCGGAGCATGCACCGGAGGTATTGATACAGCCACGCTGGTGGAAGACCTGTTCACCCCTGGCCCCGACCCCTCCAAGACAGCCTTGGGCCTTAAGTTTCTCTCCATGGAGGCCAAGCAGTGTTGCGGAGGAGTCTGTGTAAGATGCGCGTGGGAGGGTGCCGACTGGACGGGCACATGACCCGCTTCGCCTCCGTTCCGCATGAGCGGTCCACCCTGTGTGCGAGATGTTCGGTGGTCGAGGACGATCCTAGTACCGTTGCTGTTCTAGATCACAGCTTCCAAGTCCTACAAGGGGCGAATTCGTGATTGAATGGGCCTCTGCACAGTAGTTTTTTTCTCACTTCCAGCGCAAGTCAAAGATTTGATGGGTACATCCAAGGATGTAGGACTTCAGGCTTCGTCGATGGAAGCCTTCAGCAATTCTGCATCCTGGCACAGGGCGCGGACATGTCGTCCAGGCTGCTGCACTGGCTTCAAAAGTGACAGCTCGCAGGAAGCGACTCAAGCTGAGAGCCCAGCCAAGTCGGTGTTCCTTGGGTTGCATCTTTTGCTGAAACCACAAGCTTACTTCAGCAGTGTCGCCGAGACTCACAACTTTCAACCACGATGTAAGACCAGCGATTAGCACCACAACCTGGCAAATGACACTGGTGCACAAATCAAGCAAATCAAATTGCCCAAGCCCTTCGTCTGAGCTATGGCAAGTAGCTGACATGTGGTAATAGCATGGCATAGTCCCCTGCAATTAACCAGATACTTCACTGACGCGTTGCATTTGTGGGAGGGGAATCCTTTACGAGGCTCCTTGCAGCATTCCACCCTTGCCAGTTGCCTTGGACACGGATTCATCAATGCAATACAGCACAGCACGCTACCCCATGTACGCTATGCCATACTCCTCTGCAATGCGGTTCTGCAGTGCAATACAATACACTGAAGCATTCAATACACTACATATTTATGAACGTCTACGACAAGAGCAACAGATTCAATTGAGGCGGTCGCCAACATGCTTGCATGTATGTATGCAGAACTATGCTGATGTGTATGCATAACCCGGCTGCAATGGGTCTGCTGAAACGGCGTGCTGTTCGTAAACATGGGTCGTGCACATAGGATGGTCTGGAATTAACCACCTGCTCTGAACAAACAGATTCATTGAGCGGTGGGCACACATGCAGCAAGTAGCTGCCTTCGCATACCACAGAATGCTGCATGCTCAGTTCTGCTTCAGCATTTTGCACTGACTAAAACATCCTGTTTTGAATGTAGGGAAGTTGTGGTGCGGTTCTCGGTTAACCAGAGGCGGGATGCCAACAGGTTACCGCGGAGTAGGCCTTAAACCCAATTGCGATGCAACGACGTCGCTAGCAGCGACAGCCTCTTGATCACGGGAAGTACCGAGGTATTCCGAGGTCAATCCTGTCGTCTGCGTACCGCAGCTGAGTAAACCATGAACCTGATGTAGTTGGTATAGCAAGAAGGATGTGCGATACCACGAGACAATGGACCTGCGAACAAACTTTCTCCAACACGTTCTCGTTCTGTTCCACCTTCGTCGGTTGTGAAAGTACGTTGGAAAGAACTTCTCAAGTATCCATGTTGGTGATGCTGTAGTAAGGATTGATGACCCAGTCGTGAAGTATCTCGAAGATATTCTTGTGCCGTGGGCATGCACAATCTAAAGATTTGGAAGTTGAGAACTTCGAGATATGGAATGCTCTACCTGGAGGCCTAGCCTAGAAGCAGTTCAGCTGCAGGTCGCTTGCAGGTCTCAGCGTTTCCAAACTCTACACCAAGTGTAGAGTAGTTGCAGTATGGAGGGCCATGGCTCAAGTGGAAGCTCCAGACTCACCTAGCCACAGACACGTATAAATAGCGATCAATGAGCTGAGGGTGTTAACCAGAAGAACACAAGAGAAAGAAGTCTTCTAACGAGGAAATGTAACAAGCAATGCAATCATGCTTGTTTTCCTCGAGCCAAACTTTCGGTTGTACTGTCTTTATTGACTTGTCCTAACCTGACACCTATTACGCCTCTAGGAAACATGCCCGGGGTACGTGTTTTCTTAGCTCCCGGCAGCCCAACAGTCCAGTGACACCCGCTTTTGGGACAGATGCTGCCGCCACAGTCAGGCCGAGGCGGGCGGCGCAGCGCTAAAATTAATGCCGGTCCGTATGAATGTGAGATGTTCAAACCATGCTGCCAAATGTAATGAGGCCGATGCAATAGATGATGCGGATATCGCAACAAAGCACGACAGCATGCCGGGCTCGTCCGGCTCTGCGCAAGGCATGCGGCTGTCAGAGCTGGCAACTTCGATGATGGTGCCTGCACGATCATCAGCGAAGCTCCAATTACGCCAACAACGAACCTCGGCGAGGGCTTTGCTTCGACAGGCAGTACACTCAGTAGACTCATAGAGGCTCAGCGTCGGGCTTGTCGGAAGCATTCGAGCCTTCCTTCGCAATGTGCTCGTCGCTCATGAGAGACCCGGATGTCTTCGATCTGCTGTCGAGGGCACCCGAGTCCTTTGTTCCTGCCGCAGTGTCGAAATTATCGAAGGTGCTCACAATGCGAGTTCGGGCAATGATATCACAGGCAAGGACGAGCTCCTGTTCTCGTGCCTCTGCGGCTTCCACTAGTTTTGCTGGGCACCGGAGACATCTGCCAGGGTTGGCTTGACCATCGCTCCATGCGAACGTGGCAGACCCTCTGCCTTCAGCGACAATCGAGTCGACATGGCGCGGCGAACAAGGCTTCCCAGTCCAGGAGTGCAACGTCCAAGTCTTGGCAAACAGCCCTGTACTAGACGTGAAGAACTTGGCATGACTCCTTGCAGGCATAGTCCTAGCTGCTCAGCCAACCTGTGACGTGGCTAGTGCGAAAGATGATACGCGAATCAATGTTACAAGGCTTGCAAAGCTCCCATCAGGTAGAGCAGTGGCACCGGCACAAGGTGGCGTGGAGCACAGCCGTGCATGTCTTCTGCCATCCACTTGTCCGTGATACGAATTCATGGTCTACCAGAACTTGTGTCACTATAAGGGTACATTAGTAGTCGGGATCGGCGTACATCTCTGACCATTCTGAAGTACGCGCGAACACTGACGTGAACTAGAGCTCTGGCTGCTGGAAACTTGAAGCCTTGACAAGCTTCTTTCGGGAAATCGGGCCCTCCTTGTGCCTCGTGTATACTCCCGACTTTTTTGCAATGTTGCTGCATACATATGAGCTCATATCCTCTTGACACTCCTTCCATGGACTGCGGTTATTCGTGGAGATTCGGGCACCGAGTTCTGCACCTTCCGAGCTCACAGACATGTCCGCATGACACATGCTGCCAGCGATCTCGTGACGGTAACACCCGAGCTACCCGAGTATCGAAACGAGATGACAGGGTTAGCGACATGCCAACATTACACAGCGGATGCGTGGTACAAACCAGCATCACGAGACCTCCCTCGAGTCCCCCTTCATGAGCTGTCGCCTTGGTGCCTTCAGCGCCGATCGGCACCGATCGTGTGAAATTCGCAAGACAACAAGGCTGAAGAGGGTTCTTGCAGTGCTGAGACTGCAGAATGGACACAGCACCAGTTTCTAATTACAAGTACAAGTACCGAGTGGAACTGCACAAGAGGCACTGCAGCTTCGTTTTCGGTCGGGCTATTTGATAGGATCTCGTCAAGAATGTGAACAAAAGGCGGCAATACGTACAATCTGCTTCAGCAGCAGCAGCAACGGCGGGCGTCGTCAGTATCAACCAGGAATTCTGATACTGCGAGAATAGCCTCTTCCCTTTGCACAGCGAGAACGCTCACTTCTCGTTGGCGCCACTTAGGACCATGTACCTCGCAAGATTGGGAGTGGCTCTGCAAGTCGCCCCACAGCAGACAGGAAAAGAAGAGCCGGTTGAAAGGCCTGCAGACAAAAATCGCGCTGCCATGAAGTCTCAAGTCTTGGCCACACGAGGCTACTTGGGCACGGCTTGGCATCAGCTGTTTGCGCATGTCGCAGTGCCCTGATGAAAACCACAAGCTTCAGCGTGCAATTCAGTTGTTCTGGAAAAAGCGGCATTGCTACCGTGCCTGAGAGTCGGAAGAGCTTCGATGACATTCATGCTCTTCCTTGTGTGGGATACTGCTCTCTATAATAGAGAAGCGTTTGGGTAGGGAATGTGAAGGAGCTTGTGGCACTCACCGGAGAACAGATGGATTCAATCCAAAAGTCAATCTCATCTCGTTCTCCAGGCGAAGAAGTCGCCTTTCCATATTCTTTCGGCCAGGAACCTTCACGCACAGTTCGGCAAATCTGCAACACTGTGGTCAGATCTAACCCTGATCTTCCCGTACTAGTAGCGAGCTTCCAGCCAGCTGGAGGCCAGAAACAATCCCTCTCAAAATGCACACCGCACTACTGTACCTCCAGAATTTTTCCCGAGACTCAGACCTTGCCGTGGAACTTCCACGAAATCGAGCGGAAGGCTTCCTTCGGCGTCTGGACCTACAGGGCAAGTCTTTGGCTTAGCCGTCACATGACTACCGGCGACTAGATGGGCGGCTGACCCTGCCGAAATCGTCTCGATACTCAAGCTTGATGTCACCATCGACTGTAGACATCTCCAACGGGCGATTGTCCAACTTTCGGATCCTGTGAGAGTCCTGCGAGGCCATGCAAGGCCATGATGTCTGAGCGTCTGAACTCCAAGACAAGTTCAATGCGACGGCGCCAAGTACCTCTCCTGGTCACAACCGATCTGAGATCGAGCCCGGAGGTACTCAAGCCCACTGGCACCTCGAGAAACAAGCTCTCATGCAGCGTTTTCTCTGGAGTCGCAAGTCATCGAATGGACTCGAATCGGCTGCCGGCAGCTGAGGTCAAGAGACTCCTCGATCAGCGTCTGTTCCTGCCATGAACGTGCTGCCACAATGCAATGTTGCGCAAAGGAGGTACGCAGAACAAATAGTGGATCTGGCCAGGTCTTCTTCCGCATCTTTCGTGGCAGCCATGACCTGCGATCGGAGGTCCCATCTTATGTCGCTGTCGCTGATTTCAGTTGACTTCCAGCCAAGGCGCTTCCTCGGGCAGGCCCGCTTTTCGGGCTTTTCGCTCACCCGCTGCGACACCCTTGCGCTGGGTTGCCTGCAGCGGATCAACACAGCAGTCGGTACATGTCGGCACCTGCAGGGCGAAGATGACACGGCAAAAAGGCAAAGGCCTGCTGCTTGTACAGCGTGGAACCCCGGAAGCTTTCATGCTTCAGCGTCTCGATCTTCTCAAGTGGAGTCTGCACCACGTTGCAGAACCTTCATAGCTTCGCTCACCGGCGTTTTTAACACAACAGTGCCACTGCTGGAAGCTGGGCAAATATTGAGGAGCACATGCTATGAAACTGAGCTGCAGGCTCCGTTGTGGCGGTCAATGCCACATTGCTGTCTGCATCTTTCTTTAGCCCGAGAAGTTCTGCCAAACAGCTCACAGGCACCATGATGCATTCTATCTTGTCACTCCCTAAACCTGCCTCTCCATTCTGCGCAACTGCTGCTTACACTCGCTAGTATCTCGAATCCAGAACGTAGCATATCCCCAAGGGCATGGAAGGGTGCCTTTCTCCTTCTCCTTTACTTCATCCTCCTCGCACAGACAGCTTTTCGTAGCGTAGTTTTTCGGAGCAGCATCCTCTCGAGCACTGCCTCCTCGCCCATGCCCTGGATGCGTTCCGACACCTGCGAGGAAGGTTTGATTTAATCCCGAGCTCAAAAACAGGAAGATGCCGCCGGTTTCACTCAAGCCTGTGTCAAAGCGGCTTCCCCTTTTTTGGCTTGGCCTGGGAGCTGTGGCATCACCAAAGCTAGGTAGGACTAATGCTAGGAGTCATCGAGCCTGTGTCAGCACGTTTGACTAGGCGGCGCTGTTTGGAAAGCTGTTCATACAGCTCCGGGTCCTGGCAACAAAATGCTTCCATTTTGCTTTAATGGGACGTGAAGAGGTCTCCAATGGCGGCTCCTCCTCGTCAGAGCCGGCATCATCAGGTCGAGCCGGACCTGTGGTCATCCCCATTCTGTGCCGGTTGCGCCGGTTGCGCTTGGCATGACCCTGCAATTTTAACGGCGTTCGCGCATGCGATGACTGCTATCTCATAAGCGGTCAGAGCTGCTGGTTCCTGCGGGTCAAGCTTGTGCAAGCCAGCCAAGCTTTGTGGCCAAGCCCCTTGACTTGCACAGGCGCTCATAGCAGCATTGCATGCAACTAGGTCGCCTTCTACGGCCAAATTCACTAATCCCTGGAGAAAGCATAGTGCTGACTGCCATCTGCCCCCACGCTCACAAGCCACAATGGAATCGGTGCATGTGTGAGCATCGCAAGCAGGCATTGCAAGAGCCTCCGACCCGAGAAGCAGAGACCTCTGCCAATGGTTGGCATGAGTACACGCCGTGATGACCCCGCTATGGGTGATCGGGTCGCTCTGCAGGTACCGTGTGTCCAGTTCACTCAGCCAGTAGAAGGCATGTTGCCAGTGCGTCTTAGAGCTGGATCTCACAAGTGTGTGGAAGGTGATGATGTCTGGAAGTAAGCGGTGGCTCTGGAGCTGTTCGAGCAGCACGATGGCTTCCATCCACTCCCCACTGTCGAAGGTAGACAAGGCAGCGTTGAAGGTGACGAGCGTTGGCTGCAGCTTGCCCTGCAGAAGAGATTCTAAAAAAAACAGCGCCAGCGTCCAGTCCTGCGAAGTGCTGATTATTGCGTTGTAGCTGATGACATCTGGCTGTACATTCTGCGTGTGAGATAAGATCTCAAACACCGCCAAAGCCTGCTGCCACTGGGAACACTTCTCGCAGGCACTGATAGCAGCATTGTAAGCATTCACTGTCTGGGTCCGAACTGCTTGGCATGATATGAAGGTGGCTAAGGCTTGCTGCCATTGGTTTTCCGTCTCGCATGCGCATATGCATGAGCTGTGCATGACTCCATCCGGCTGGACACTGCATGCCGGTGCCTCTGACAGCAGCACCAGTGCTCCTTGCCAAAGCTGTAGTCTCGCACCATTCCTGCAGCCATTTCTGCAAGCATTCATTGTAGCACTCAGTGTCATCTGTGTGCATCTTACAAAGCTTCCGGTCATCCAGGACAGCAGATCGCCAGCGTGTACCCACCGTGAGCGTCTTGCGAAGGCTGAGATGACGCTGTTGGACAAGACTGCGTCCTTTTCATAGCTCTTCCCCGCACAGATCGCGAGCAGGTGGCATGCTTGCTTCCATTTGGCACTGATTGAAAAGGCATTAGCTGCTGAATTAAAGGAGATCGCAGTGAGCCCCAGATCACGGCCTAGCTGCCGAAGGTGCAACGATGCTGTCTGCCACTGCTGTCCTCGGCCACAAACTGTGAGCAGAGCGTTTTGCAAGACAATGTCTGGCAAAATTCCTTGCACGACCAAGTCTGCGACTGTGAAAACGGCTGTCGGCCACCGCTTCGCAGTGGACCGCGAAACAGCTTCAGTGGATCGAAGCAAGTTTTCTTTGCGGGACCCCTTGTTCACATGTGCACTGACCTTACTTCCGGCATCTTGGCTTTTCCAGTGGCACTGCTTCCCCTCTGCCAGAAACGTGCCGACGACCATGTACTCCTGAATGTATCATCATGGTAGAGCTGTGCTAGACGGACAGCTGTGTTACCGGCATCTTTGAAATCTGCATCCGGTCAGGAAGACGGGCCAGCACAATTGGCTACAAATATCTCCATCAGTTATGTGGGGCACCCTCGAGCCAAGATTCATTTGTGCATGGACAGGAACGGACATGCCGCCGTCAAGTCAGAAAACTTTTCGACCGCATCGCACATGTCATGCCGGCCTTTGACATGAACTTTGCTCGGGTCACCAATCTGATCCTCTTTGTCTCCTGCCACCTGCGCATGCCGATCTGGCAAAGGTGGTATGCATGAGCCACAACTCTCAGGTGCAAGTCCGTGCAAGGGCAAAAGAAGTGGACGTGCCATCAAAGCTTTTCCCCAAGGACGATCCATGTTAGAGCAAGCACAGAAACGCGAAGGGTTGTGAGACGAGCTGCAGTCCGAGTCCGCTGCGACCATGGAGCCACTTTGACGAAAGCAGCGCTTTGACTCCATACGAGCTCATGCGCTCGAAAATCTTGCCACTGTTCCGAAAGACTGGCCTTGTCTGACATGGCCTTCATACTGTTGTCCAGTCCCAGCCACCAGGAGGCAAAAGTCGCGTGCTATCAATGAAACATGTTCCATGTCATGGGGATCAGCTTGTGGTGGCTGTCGAGAATGCCGAATGAGTCGACCGGGAAGTCCCACGTTGTCCGCACCTTGACAAGCACCAAGAGGATGGATCGGCGCAGCAGGTTCCGGCATGAGTGGGCATTCCGTGTTGCAGGTCATGCCTTCAGTTAGCATCAGATATGACGGTTCGTCGCCGGCGTCAAAGCTCGTCACAGATCATGCCTGCTTGTTCAAAAATTGACCTTGGCAACTGTGTGCATGAACCGTGTCCACAGTGTCGAAGATTCACTACCAATATTCGGTATAGGGCAAGGTAGTGTAGTAACGTCTAGGAACCTGAAAACGCTTGGCAGCAAAGCCGTGTCCAACACCACGTGCCCTTGCCCGGGTGGCAGGGCATCGCGAATTTTCGATGCCTCCTCGCCGATGGAGCCGATCATAACCTGAAGATAGAGAAAGGGATGCAGAAAGAGCGAGAGAGGGATTGACAGATGGGGTGAGAGGCAAAGAGAGAGAGAGAGAGAGAGAGAGAGGGAGGGGGAGAGGGAGAGGGAGAGAGAGAGAGAGAGAGAGACAGAGTCTGAGAGTCTATTTTTACAGGTAACATCATTATTATGATGTTTATGCTTGTTACCATTGTTCTTGTTATGTTGTTTTTTAAATAGGATCATGTGATGCTGACATCCTGGCCCTGCTTCTTGTCTAAAGCTCCGTCGGTGGTGGCACTGTTGCTTCGCTGTCTTTCAAAGTTCTCACCCACGTTGTACTTTCAAGTAGGGTGTGAGGCTCAAAGACTTCTGGATTCGGCATAGGTTTGGGATGTTCGATTACTCAAAATTCCCTGATGGTCACGAGTGGGCGTCAAGAGTGACTCCACAACCAGCAGTGGCTTAGTAGTGTCCCCGCAGCTGGGAGTCAGCACTGTCCATGGCAGTAGGTCAGCAGGGACCACTTTACTACGATGCCTGCAGGTTGATCAGGTCTGATGAAGCGTTTAAGCCTGAGGACCGCTTGCTAGCTCTGTCCCTGGTCTGTCGAATCACAAGTGGCAGGCATGATTCGTGGACACCAGATGAACGACAAGATCTACGCAGAAATGCCATTGTCGGACCCTTCACTGAATAGCTTGTAGGCAGGTGTTTTTGCAGGCTGTTAGGCTGTTGGATGCGGCACCAGTATACAGGCATGCAAAATCACGCAAGAAGTTTGTCGCCCCAGAGAAACTCAGCATTAAATTCTGCTCCACGAATGCGCATCAGATGCATGCTCCGGGGTTCTCTTTTGAATCTTGACACGTTTGAAGCTGTGGGGATTTTGGAGCTGGGTTAAAAGCAGCAGTCCTCCGAGTTTGGGCATCCGGAAAGATTCAGCCCAGGTGATCCAGGAAAGAGCTGCGCACTCAGGGCCCTGAACTCTGAACCAGAAGCCCCCAAACCCTAAACCCTAAACCGAATGTTCGCGTGAGGCTTCCTGGCATAAGCATAGACACAGGCCCACACGGGATTTTGCAGGGGCCTGAATGATTACGGCTACTTTTCTCATCCGGGTTCCTTGCTACATCCGACCGCTTGGGCGGCTTGGATGGGTCGGTGTATGGACTATGTAGGGTTGATGACGGCTTTGTCTTCGATTATCTGGGGTGTGTGTGTGTGTGTGTGTGTCTGTGTGTGTGTGTGTGAAACTCCTGTTCCTAAG